CTGCTAAATCCTAACTGACTAAACTGCATTTTAGATTAATATAGTTTGAAACCTAGTAATTTCCATCGAAGTTTACAGCTCATACGTTACGTGTAAATGGTGCACACCCAGGCAATGAATTTATATGGCCATCACTGGCTCGTATAGATCGTTGCCAGCAACCCAATAGAGTACTGTGGATTGATAATCCGCAAATAGATTTCAATACGCTTCACCCAGAGGCAGCAGCGTACATAATCACACCACAGTATTGGAAACGCATACTACCCAACCACCACATTCACCCCCTGTTTGATATAGATCAGAATTTAGAAAACAACATCCCAATAGATATCACTCTCTCCTATATCACTAGCAGTCTGGATCCACCTGAAAATATGCCTACGACAGATCTGCATTGATTTGCAGCTGAATAGCAGTTATATCCACAAACATCCTGCCATGAAACGCCCACCTCCTAGAACATATCCGCCTTAAGCGCCTACCGGCAGACACAGCTGCAAATCGCAACCCGGTGATGCAGTAGTGAGTCCGAGACAGTAGTGCCGCTACTGGTCTCTCTCTCATATTCAGTAATACGAAATGCAAATCGGTCACAGTATATTTTCAGCACTTGTTTCCAACCAGTTAGGATTTACAAACTACTACTAAAACGACCCATATAACTACATACCCAAAGAAACCAAGCCACATAGCAAACTGAACGCAGCGCAACAACTCAGCCATTAGATAGTTCAGTTAGCCTCTATCTGAGAAAACAGGGATTAAGGCACAAACTGCGACACCTGCCGGCCGCCACAGGTCTTCGGACACAAGGCATTGTATATAGCAATAGCGTGTAAACAAATAAAGATACCTAAACCCTAAACCCTAAAACATAAAACAGTAATCACGTTTACGATAAAACCGTAATCGCTCAACCACGTTTACGATATAACAGTAATCGCGTTTACGATAAAACAGTAATCGCTCAACCACAGCATTTACTGCATGGTTCGATTATTGAGGTTATAAGAGCTTGACGTCCCCCAAATATCTTGACCCCTCCGCCTCAAACGACGCATTGTCACCCACAATAATCTTACCATACACATACCTGCTCGCCCCCTGCTTTAGTCGGACTAGGGCCGGCTCAAACGTGACATTCTCGTGCACAGCATTGAGGTCGTACAGCGTCGGCGCAATCCCAACATTCGTAACCGCCAGTCGCGTGTATCCATCGCTACTCGTGTCTACGGACGCGACCTTAAGACGGTAGCCCATGTACGCTGAAAGTTCTTGGATCTTGCTACTACTAGACGACATGATTTCCGAAGTCCTGTTCGGCATAATGTAGTGCATCGCCCGCTTCTTCATCAGCTGTTTCGTCGTGTCCATAATTGAGTCCAGTGTACCCTCGCCGATTGAGAACTCACCGCCCTTCATAGTATACACGCGCTCGTCGTAGTTGCACCCATTGTATAGCTTGGTTTCGCACACGGACTCGGACCTCCTGGTCTTTAAGAACGAGTCGTGGAAAATGCCAATGTTCGTGTCCGCTCGGAAACTGTCGCTCAGTTGGCGCTCGTCATCCCCGACCCCAACACTCACCGCGACCTGCAGCGTGCCTCGGTGGGCCTTGACAATACTAAACAGCGTGTCGATCTGCTCCGCGGTGGGAATGTTCACGCCCGGATTCATGGTAATTCTAGACACGTGGAACTCGCTCCAGAACCCAAACCCCAGCTGCAGCAGACAGCACCTTTTTTCGGCGCGCAAATGCGCAGTCATATTTTTAAACAGTTCCGATGCCATTTCCATCATGTTGGGGTCGCTCCAGTGTTGTCGCCCACGAGGGCGTCTTGTTCCAGTCCGGACTGTCCACAAAGTACAGGCGCACAATTGCATTTAAACCCGGCTCCAGATTTTCAAAGTCCTTGTCGAGCTTATCAAACGTCACGTCAGTTCCGTTGTAGCAGTTCTCGGCGTACAGGCAAATGTAGTGCAGCTTGTCCCCCTTTGTCAGTCCACTCATAGGCATAGTATCGGTCACCGTACGATTCTGCACCGCCACCGAATTCCATGGCCCTGAACTTGGCGGCACAAAGTCGTCGAAATCGTCTACGATGGGATCATTGTCAGAGTAGCCACCCTCCCCTTGTGGCACGTACATGCCTACAGTGTTACTGCTAGTCAACAATACTACTGTAATGTTTATCCAAAGTAAAAATATGACCCAGATCGGATCTATTCTATTCAAAATGTTTAACACTTGTTTTTTTTGAAATCGACTTATATTCAACAAAAAGGCCTCGATTTTGCTCCTCTGCTAGCTAGCTCGTCCAAACCCAAATCTAGAACATGGCCATGGCGGCCATCACATGCACCAACGCAATTGCACCGAGCACTGTGTTGGCCTTGGCGACCTCTGCGCCCGAAGAAAGATACGAGGCTGAAAGATCCGATGACGACGATCCGCTGTTTCCGTAGTTGCCGCCGATGCATGCGACCTTGGCCGACGGCACAATCTCAACTCCGTGGCCGCACTGGTTGTTGAGGACGTCCAGCGGTGTGCACGAACTACACGAGGTTCCATCGGTCGCCTCGTTGAGTGGTGCACCGTACACGATTTCCTTGAGGGTTGCATCGTAGTACAGCACGTTGTCGGTACGATCAGTGTTTAAGATGGGGTCCATGAACAGACCGAAGGTACTCCCCCACGGATGCACTCGGTATGTGCTGGTTTGCCTGTATTGGAAATATCATAGGCGGAACCAACACAGACATTCAACTGCACCAGCCTTGTGGTTCGTTTATTTTATTTTGTATCTTTCTTCAGTTGGACTTAGATATATTTAACTGGTTAGTTTGATTGGAGAAGTGTTTCGAGGCGTGAAATATATTATCATGCGTCCAACGTAAATGGTATCTAATCTCAGTAACTAAAATCTTATTTGATTTTGATAGTTAAGACTTTGACCGGAGATCGTATTTCTACAGTGGTAGAAAAATCTGACACAGTGTTCAGCTGTGATGGAAGTACAGCCGAATTTATTGGTATTCTTGCTCCAACAGCAAAAGCGAGGTATCATGGCTAGTTATCCACTTTCGATATCGTCATTAATTGGATTGGTCTGTTGTGAATGCATATCCACTCACTGATTATCTCTATCGAATGATAAGATTTTAAGAGTCTATCAGATTCGAACGAGACAGAATGATAGTTTCGACTAGCGAACAACGAAAAGAAAAATAAAATTCTTTCGGCGGAAACAGTACGGAGAGGATTCTACATAGGTAATGTCTCCGTCTCATAATCCTTCAGAGTAATGCTGTTTTCACGAGGCATACCTGACTTTAATAAAGTACTACTTTTGTTTAATTTACTTTGATGTCATTGAACTTTAAAGTCGACTTTTAAGACTTTAATTACTCTAAGATGTTAGCACCACCTTAGGGATAACATTATTTATTATCCCTGAGACGGATATTTACAGTTGGTAAATATAGCTGCACTTCTTGTTTCAAGCTTCAGTGAAACTTCAGAATGATCAGAATACTGGTCGTTGTGTCCTTTGCTTCCTCATTCGAGGACTCCGAATGCAACATACTGAATCGTTTCCAGCGCTGTAATTCGTGTCGTGATAGGTGATGCGTAGATGTCGTTGCCTGTGTTCTATCTATTTAGGAAGAGTGTGATAGGGATAATATTATTTATTTCAAAAATGGCAAGTATGTATGGTACAATGTATGAACATATGGTATGGCTCTCATAGTCGCTGTAGTGGTTCAGGAAAGATTGATGGGAAGAAGTGGTCAATAAATTCCCGTTTGAAGCTTGGGCCAAGTGAGTCGACAATGGAAGATATGTGCTGAGTCAATTCGGGCCGGTGTTGACAAAACACTGTTACTATCGAATGTTCCATATATTTGCTTGCTGACCTACTAAATAGAGTACCCACCTCTGTGGTACGGATCGGGTCTGCGCCGTGTAGTGCCGCGGAATAGGTTAGTGCAGAGTACGAAATACCGAGAAGGACCAGGTTATCCGTCATAATCCGGTCGAGAAGCGAGGATGGGGGTAAGCCAATGCCGCACCAGACCACGGATGAATTCGGTATGTGTTGGCTGGCCTTGGATAAATGTCGTGTGAAACACGAGAACGCAGGTTTTAATCCTGAGCGCTAAAAATGTCCGTGACGCTAATTTACCAAATAAGGAATTAAATGATTTTTCTTGCTCATTTGAGACCCAGTACGAATATGAACAAATAAATTAGTTATAGCTATAAGCTTTCAGTCCCTGCGGCGGCCCAGCCGTGTTTTATCAAAATATCCACCTGGGAGCTCAAAATTCTTTTTCTATCTACGAAAAATATGAAGAAAAAAAGGAAACAAAAGGAAATAATGAAAAAACGGAAATAAAAAATCCAGCAACAAGAATACAGATCGGTAGATCCATGTCTTTTTGTTTGGATATTTACTTATTCGGATCTTCGAACTCTGTTCGTCTAAATAAAAGCACACCACTAATACTCTATACAATTACGGATTTTATTTGGTTGTTTTTATTTTTACATTTAAAAAAAAAAAAGACAGAATCAAAAATCATTACATGTTATAAATATTGATATAACTACAGTCTACAGTACAATCAAACCTCGATTATTATCTACTGCAATTATTGTCCACCTTTTCCAACTATATACATAGACCATACTCAAAATAGACCATACAGTGCTTCTTATCCCTACAAATCATGAAAGAAAAGCCAGACTTAGATTGATTCAGATATGCGTATGTACTATGCTTTGTATAATACTAAAAACGACACGTATAGTATCAAATATTTCAAATCGCGTATAGACGTAAATACACACATTTGTTGCTTTGAGAAATCTAGCTCATAACATGCAGGGCTGTACTAAAACTTGAAAGGATACCAATCATATAGTAGGTGCACATAGATGTCTTGGTTGCTATCTGCCGATGTAAGCTCTGTGCGTGTTAGTTACTGAGGGGTTTGGTAGACTGGTAGTATAGGCCACTGCATGTCAAACAAGACAACAAACATGCAAGCCACCACCTCCATTGCAGAATTGAACAACTGTAACAATCAATCTAATAGGCTATAAACATTTCTATAGAAGATTCTAGTGAAACCTGTAGGCTATAGTAGATTCTACTAAATATAAAATATAATTTGAATTTTTGCTGCTTATTAGTGAACAATAAGAAATTAAAATACATGTCGAATGGAGCAAGTATTTTGCCCTGAAATAGCATATAGATACTCTAAATTACTCGTGTCTTGCTCATACTATGGACAGCGCAAGCATTCCAATAGTAGACAAATACATGTGAGGTAAAAAATACACCTTACATCTGCACCATATCTAACTTCCACCTCATTTTCCTCTGTCTGATATAT